CACTGATGAAGATGTTGGACAGCACCGGCCCCAGAACTGAGCCCTGAGGGACTCTGCTGCACACATCTTTCCAGGTTGACATTAACCCATTCACTGCCACCCTCTGAGTGCGACCCCTGAGCCAGTTTGCTACCCAGTCTACCATGTAATCATCCATGGCAAATCTCCTCAGTTGATTAATAAGGATGCTGTGGGATACTGTGTGAAAGGCCTTCTTGAAGTCCAGATAGATAACATCCACTTTGATCCTGCATCTAAACATTTGGTGGCCTTGTTGTTAAAAAAACAGCAAAACAAAACAAAAAAAAACTGGGTTAGTCAGGCAGGACCTGCCCGCTATAAACCTATGCTGGTTGCCCCTCTGCATCACATTAGCCAGTGGGCTCCCACAGATGTGGTCCTTGATTATTTTTTCTAGAATTTTCCCTGGGATAGAGGTAAAGCTGACCAGTCTAAAGATTGGGACAACATTGGCCCTCTTCCAATCCTCCGGGACCTGACCCGAGCACCATGAGTGCTCATATATCCTTGCTAGTGGTTCAGCTATGGCACTTGCTAATTCCTCCATTACCTGTGGGTGGAGTCCCTCCGGTCCCGGTGATTTGAACACGTCCAGTCCCTCCAAGTGTCCTTTTACCGTGTCAGCACTGACCGTTGGTCAGCCGATGTTCCCCTTGTTGATGTCCATGATGCGTATTGAGGGTTCGTCTAGATTCCTATTTAAAAAGACAGAGACAAAAAACTCATTGAAGAGTTGTGCCTGCTATCTGTCACTAAGCCCCTGCAATAAACAGTGTCAGAACTTATCACAAACCAGTGTCTTGTATCAAAACTTAAATAAGTGTCATTTTACTTGCTGTGGTAAGTCTTCTGTCCTAAGTGTTACTTATGTAAAATTCAGCACACAATAGTGAGACTGTTTTACAGGTGAATCTTTTGAATTGGCCTATATTTCTTCCCTACTGCCATAAAATGTTTCTTTGCTACATCTCTGAACATTTGATAGCCACAATATAAAAGGCATTCAGTCTTGCTCTGGCTTTCAACAGACTAAGTGCAGCCTCATTCATTCAGCTGAGGAGTTTTCCTTCAAATTGATGCGTTACCAACTCCATCATCCTCTGTTGTCAGTGTAATCAGATTATGATTTAATCGTAGAAAGGACTTAGAGTAGCCTGCATGAGGGATTTATGAACTGACAAGAACAAAATGTAATCATCATAATTAGTTTTCTCATTGAATCCAAGTCTTTCTGAAAGTATAAGACAAGAATCCTTCAGTCATGACCTGGGGTATCAAAAAAAGTGTTCATTATCTGATGAGCAGGGTAAATTGTAAGATCTCTGAGAGTTTATCACCTCATTGGGAACCAAAAGCTTTGTGGTATTTGTAACAATATAGCTTGACTTCTCCTGAATTACTTCTAACGTGCAAGGGAAGAATAGCGATATTCCAGTGTGAATGGATTTTCCACTAACGTATTGCAGTCCAGTGTATGTTTCTCAGTGGGAGCCTGATAATGTTAATTGGAGTTTGTGATTAAGTCTGTGCTGTGACATCATCTATTTTAGCAGCATGAAATAGAAAAACAGGATTCAGATATTTTTTAGACTGAACAAAGCAATGGAAAAATTTTTCTGTAGGGAATGAGCATGCTCAGGACCTTGGGGAATAGACAGGACATGGCACAATAGGGTCACTTCCTTCTCTGTCCTTTGCGATTTTATTAAAAAATGCCAGATAGGAAAGGCTAGCATTTAACATGTTTGGATTTTTGGGATATTACAGAATGTCTGGACTAAGTGAAAGGATTTGCTAGGCAGGTTAGAGAAAGGAATTGGGGGAGTTTGACTTTTCTCTCCAGACATCTGTTTAACTATTTTTGAGTTTCTCATTAAACAGCGGTTCATAGATGTGGCATCCAAAAACAGATAAGATCTTAAAGCTTTTCAGAACTAGACACTGGGATGCCAGTAGGATATTTGTCTTTGATTTAGGAAGGAGACTCTGACTACACCAAGTGTAAAATTGGTGCAAATAACCTCTGTTGCAGTGGTATGAGCCTGCTACTTTTATGTAAGAATATTTTGTCCACTCACAGGGTTCGTGGGTTGGTATAATCTGGTGTGCATGCAGGACCAGGATTCTGTCATAGTTCTTGTACGTATGGCCAAGAGCTGTTGCAGATGCAACTGTGTCAGCAAACTATTTCCTGCAAAGAATACCCCTGATGTGGTTTTATTACCTAACATAGATGCCCTGCTTACTAGGAAAATTAGATTTTTTTTTTCTGACAAAAGATACTGAAAGCTGTTTCCCTTGGTGATGCAATGGACAACAGACTTCAGCAGCTGTTGTAGTCAAGCACTACTGATACCTTTTGTGGGATGAACGGTTGGACACTTACTTGACTAACAAAGTTGTTGAACTCACTTGCCCTTTCTTCATCAGTTGAAGTTCTTGCCAAAAACAGCACCTTCTGATTTGATTACAAGAGCTTTTTTCCTGGTCTTGATTGGTTTTCAGAAAACACTTTATTAACATTATGCCCTGTTCCCTGTGCTCTGTGCTGATTTAAAAAATAATTTCTTCAGGGAAAAAGGATTTTGTCCCACAGCTATTTGTTGTGGCATAAACAGGGCCTCATAATGTAATTTAATGGAATGTAGTTACACTTTTGTGCATTGATGAATGAGTTGCCTCTTTAGCTATATATTTCTCATGTATCATTTACTGCAGGCAATAAAAGCTATTAAAAGCTCATAGAAAAGGAGGAAAAAATTAATGATGGCCAATCATACACTTACAGTATTCATATGTATTTAATGGAGAATGTCTACTCTTTGCCTCAGACAAAAAAAATATCCTGATGCCTTTATAACAATAATCTGTGTGGACAGCAAAACATTAAACACATGGTAATTAAACACAAAGGTCCAAACGACTGCATTGCTACAGGTAATAAATACCATCATTCAGATTGGCTCTTGGGTCAGAAGGCTGGATCAGCTGCAAATCTCAACAGTTTGGTTGTGGCATAACAAAGCCTTTAAATTCTGTGCATCCCCAGTCACCAAATGGCAACGCTAACATGTGGGTAACTTTACTGTCAAATGATGTGATTTTATTTTCACCTAATCAGTCTATTTGGGAATATTTTTATTGAGGAGGCTGTTAGCTGAAGAGACATCCCAAGAAATATAACTTGTCCTTGTTGTGTGATTTCATTTCTGAAAAATGAGTGAGAAAAAGATAGGGTGACTTTTGCACATTTGTGCATCAGTGATTCCTGATCAAATTGTCTCAGCTTACCAGTCAATAGGTGTTTGGTTTCTGAATGCAAACTCCTCAAACTTACATGAGGTCAAACTGGATTCTTTCCTTTTTGGATATAATCACTAGCAATGAAGTTCTCAGTCAAATTCTGCTGTTAGTGACTCCACTCCAACCCCAAGAGCTTAAAAATGTGTCTTTATAAGGGCAACTTTATTGTCTTTAGTGGGATAGCAGAGACTAATTTTTTGGTAATGCCTGACAGGGAAGAGAATCCAGCACACTTGTAGTATTATCTCACAGGAGTGAAAAGCAAGACAGAAGGGCTGATCCTGAGTTCATTCAGGAAGCAGATCTCTTCAACTGGAACACATTGCTTTTTGCCAGTTTCCAGAGTAAAAACGCCAAGGAGCATGCTTTTTGCGGCTATATAGCTCTGCAATAATGCTTTTCCTTTGTTGAATGCCTTCCTCAACTACCCAAGTACTTGTCTTCCTTAACTGTCTAGAGAGACTGAGATCTAAGAGTACCAAAAAGATCTTATTTTGTTAAAATAGATCTTTCCTCTTTGCAGTCAGCAAGGCACATCCATTATATGTGAGGTCTGCTGCAGGCAGTACTTGTAGTTTTGCTTGAGATATCTGACATCCTTCAAATTAAACACTTGTGTGTTCAGGGTTTTGCCACAGTCAGAACCAGCGGCCTGAACTAGATGGGCTTGCTCCACGGATTCCAATACCTGTTTTGTCTCTGTAAAAAGATCTCTTTGCTACCACTTAGCAGTTTAACAATTAGCTTTGCATCAAACGCAGTGTGGAAACAAGTTGGTTTAAGCTGGCAGGGATGCTGAGCATTTTACTTTATCAGAAGGAGGATCACTTAAGTCCTTCCTTTGGATCATAGCAGAGTAATTATTGTAGATTTTGTTGCCTAATCAAGAAAAGGCAGTATGTTGAGATATGAAAATGAGACCACCCTTTTTAAGTGCTTGGTGCTGCCTATGATCTTCAGACTATCCCAGAGAGCCTTTTGAAATCCCCTGTTAATCAAACATTTCTTAGAGCTGGCTATTCTCATTAAAGGCCCAATCCAAACCCTTGCTCTTACGTGTAGTCCTAGTGATTTCAGTGGGACTACCCATAACTGAGGAGAACCTTTCATTCTCCTCACTTTGGAACCACTAAACACCCAGTGTTGTAATTAGATTTGTAGATCTTGTGGAGCAGACACTCCCAGTATGATTTTAAAGAGCTTTTTTATATGGCAGAATATTTCTATGATCCAAATGCAGTTGTCATTCTTCTGTTTTTTAATAAATATAGGTACACTAACGAAACTGTCTCTAGCTGACAGTGAAAGCAGCTGTATTTATAAAGAAAAGAGGATTTTCTCAGTCTATACAAATAGCAGAAATCAGAAGTTGGTTTCTGTTAGAAATAACTTGCATCTGATTGGATAATTTCTGTTTAGCAAGGATGCTGTTATTTTTGCTTCATCCTTTGAGATCCATTGGCTGTCCTCCTAGGATTTTTTTCACTGGAGATTCCTTTGGGAATTTTGCCTGATGTATTTTGACTCTCTCCTTTTCTGCCATTTCAGGTTTCTTCATTTCCAGTGGCTAAAGAACCCCAGAAACCTCGACCCAAAAAAGGTTTGTTTTAAGATTTGTTTACAAGGGGCTCTCTTAGCCAAGATGACTGAAAAATTACTCTGTAATGTCTGCAGTGGTCTGATATGTAAAAAGGGTTCATGCTGGAAACAGATGGGACTATTTAGATTGCAAGCCCTTTGGGTCCAGTTCTGTCTTTTTGTTCGGCATTTGTACAGGGCCAACTACAACGGGCCCTGATCCTAGGCACTGTGGTAATACACGTAATAAATAATAGTATCTTCATTTCATTCTTGTTCAACATCTGTTTTGTAAAATCGTTTACTTACAGAGGCAATATTTACTTATTGTACTATCGTCTGTTATAAACTTTGTAAAACTTTCTAAAAAACCACTTATTGTATTAGTAAGATACTTTCTGGACTGCTCATCTGCTTGTTTTTCATTTATCTTCCTTCTTGAGTAAGGTGTTTGTTTATTGCAGATTCTGTAAACTCTTAAATTCTTAAAATGTCTTGCCATAAAAATGCTAGTGCAGGACCTCACAATCCTGGAGTTTCATTAGGTTTGTTTTTGTTTTGTTTTTTCTTTTTTATGTGAAGTTTGTTTGGTTTGGAAGTAAAAAGATGTGTCTGAGGAAAGGCTTCCACAACTAACCACTCCCTCTGATATATATTTGGGTTTTTATAAATGTAAGCAAGGGCTTCCTTTGTCCTACAAAGCCTTTCTTATTGCATTATGGAATGGGGGAAAAACCTAGCTTGACACTTGGATCCTAGACAGAGGTTGTAGAGCTGACAGCTCTAAAACAGTATTTTTCTTTGCACATAGAGCAAATTGAATCAGGAAGTCATTGAAGTACAATTAATAGTGAAATCAACAATGCCATTAGCCACACCTTTAAAACAAGTTACTTCACATCTTACTTTAGTTCATTGATATTGGGGATGCATGTCAGAATGGACTCTGTCCCTCTCTTTGTGACATCCGTGATATTCGCCATTATGGGAGACAGCCTTAATGATAACTTGTCGCAATACCTTTTCTGATGTTCATGTAAATAGGAGTTTATTTGACAACTGTGCACTGTGCCAAAACCGCTGGCTTCCAAAGGCAATGCTTTTTGTTCATCACACTGGAATTCTGCTATGGCTGAGTCCACGAAGTCAGAGAAACTTTTTGTCTCCTGAATGGAGGCCAGACGGACTGAAAGTATGTATGGCTCCTAGTTTCACCAGCCAAATTTTAGCACTTCAGCAACAGCATACCTCAAGCATAAAGATCCTTCATGGATTTTCAGAACCCAGATCTAAAGTTGGCCTGTGCAATGAGGTCAAGCTTCTCTGCAGTTTACTGACTCCCACCTGGAGTTGAGAGAAAGAGAATTACTGTGTCAGGTCTCTCACAAAGTAGTTCAGCCAAAAATCCCCTTTGCTCTGAAAGAGATTTCTTGGCAGTCAACTGTGACTATATTTTCATCAGATGACCAACCTGTGACTTCATGGAAAGACTGATCCTTTTTAGTCATGTTTTTCTGGAAGGCTTTCTAGCCTGATCTCTTCCCCTTAATGTCTGCTCCACCCCTTCCTTCTCCCCCCTCCCCCTACCTGCAGTGATGTTCAGGTGTATTATGTCATAGTTGCATTAATTATGTATGGTTGAAGGATCTTTGTCCTTTTGTCTTTTTCTAAAGCACCATCTCCCTGAACAGGACTATAAATGTAGCAGTTGTAAAGGGCAAAGAATGAACTAGCATTTGGACTCCTCTTCTTGCGGTTGGAGATCTATTTTGCCATTCCTTTGCCATTTATATGTAATTTAAAAATCCAAAAGGAGAGATGTGGCCCTCAGCATAGTAAAGCCGTGAAGGTGGGCTGTGGAAGAAGGTGGCTTGCCTCCATCAATTTGGTTGCTAAACTGTTATTCAAGTGTCTGTCTTCTCCTTTGTGCATAATTTGATATGGGTGGTCAGGAAAGGACTAACTCTGGTAGTTAAGACTTTTTTGATGGGGCCACCATTATGACAGGTAGGATTTGTGTTATGTGCAAGCTTTTGACCAAGGCTAGGAATAGGCATTACACATAAACCAGTTTAAGTGATCAGAAACTGGTTTTAAACTTGTAACAGAACAGACATTCATTGCACATAAACCAGTTTCAAAATGGCTGAAGCTGGTTTGAGATAAACCTGGTTGAATGTAGTATCAGACTTAACTGATTTAGCTCAAACCAGTTTGTGCAATGTCTGTCCCAGACTGCTTCCTGGTTTAACTTAAACCAGCATGAATGACATGTGCCCCGAAGGCTGGCGGGGGCATGGTGCTGGTGAGGGTGTGGCGGTGGTGAGTGGGGAGCTTCTGCAGGTGGCCATGGTGGCGACAGGCTGGCGGGGTGGGCAAGTGCCAACCAGTGAGCAGGGAGCTCCCGCAGGCAGCCGCAGCGGCGGTGGGGGCAGGGGTGGCCGCTGGTCAGAGACCACCCGCAGATGCCACTGGCAGAGTCGGCGGGGGGGTGAGTGGCAACCACCTGCAGGCACCACCAGCAGCATCAGCAGCGCTTCTGTCAGGGGGTGCACTGCCAATCTCAGGGGGTGCACATGTACCCACATGCACCCCATACGCATCACCAATGTAAACCAGAGTCCCACAGCCTCCGGGCATGCTCTGTGGGCTGTGCTGTCTGCTCCAGTGGATCAGGGCTGGCCCCGCCCCTCTGCTCTCCAGCTGGAGAGGGGACAGGCAGGGGTGTGGGTTTGGCCAGAGAAGTTTAATTTCCCCCTCCCTGTCCCACTGGCAGGGACCCGAGCTGGGTTTGCTAGGTGTTCCCCCCTCACTGTTACGGAGGCAGGCCAGTGTGGCCCCTCAGGCAGAGGGGGCAGGGAGGGGGGTTATTCTCCCCTCTATCTCCACTGCCCCTGGGGGACCACACCCAGGTCTGCCCACCCTGACCCCCACCACCACTGAGCGTGGAATAAGCCTCCTTCTGTCCCCTCTGCCAGATGCCAGAGGGAGGTGGAATAACCCCCATCCCTGCCCCCCACAAAGGGGCCCTGCTGGCCACTGCAGCGGCGAGGGGGCAGGGCCCTTGATGGGAGCAGCAGCCCCTGTCATAGCGTCGGGGAGTGTGAACGCCTTCCCAGCGGAGACACTGCGCTGCCTGGGGGGCAGAGCTGCGGCAGACTGTGCGCAGCAACACCAGGGCCTGGATGGGGCCAGGGCCCTCCAAACTCCCCCCAGCGCTGTGGTCCATAGCAGCTTTCCTGCAATGCACTGCCACTCCCCCTTCCCCCTCCACCAGGAAGGGGCTCACACTTTGGGAAACCGTGACAAGGGCTGCTGCCTCCGTCATGGTCGCTTCCTCATGGTCACTTCCCCCTCGCTGCTTCAGTGGCTGGGTGGGGTGGGCCACATGCCACTGGCAGTGCCCCTTGTGGGGCACAGAGAGTGGGGTTATTCCCCCTCTGTCCCTGGGGCACCGTAGCAGGGTCTGCCTGGCTTGGTTGCTGCCGCCGCTCAATCTGTCCTCAGAGCAAGCAGTGGGATAAGTCTGCTCCTGCCCCCCTCCCTGTGGCATCTGATGGAGGGGGTTTTTCCCACCACTTGCCCTGAGCACAGAGCGAGCAGCAGCAGTCAGGGCAGTGGGGGGCAGGGTGGGCAGACCTAGCTGAGGTTCCCCAGGAGCAGTGGGGGTAGAGGGGAGAATAACCCCCCTCCCTGCCCCCTCTGCTTCGTGGACCACACTGGCCCACTGCTGCAGCAGCGAGTGGGGAGCACCCAGCAGACCTGGCTCAGGTCCCTACCAGTGGGACGCTGAGTGGGGAATTAAACCTCTCTCTAGCCAGTTAGGTCTGGGTTGACCACGGCTCCTCAGCCCAGCTTCCCTGCAGCCAAGGGCACACTCTAATGCCCTCCAGCTCCTGGCCTGAGCAACTTCAGGTATGTACCCACAGTGCCTCAGTTCAGAGGGAATGTCTGTGCAGTGACAAACTGGTTCAACCTGGGCAGGTTAGACTAACCTACAAAGGTCGAATCAGTTCATGCTCTGGCTTTTTGAATGTCTGGCCCTACCCAAAATGCCTATGTAGTAAATCTTTGAGGAAGACGTTTGGGAAACATTTCTGAAATCTTGAATATTCTGCATGCTAACACTATGAACATCTTTCTTGCGGTATTTAAAGGGCAGTACTCTGTTCCAAATGGAGATGTCATCTGTTTGGCCATCAAGCCACAACACCTCTCAGCCTTCAGCTGGCATTTAAAGAAAATTGGAAATCAGAGTTCTTTAAGAATTAAGTGATTTTGATATTGCTTAGCATAAATTCAATTTAAGGAATAACATGGAGCAGCCATACTAGAAGTGTGTGTGACACTAGACAGTGAATCAGTTTTGCATTTCCAATGCAGTCTTTGGACAGCAGGTATGTTACTGTCAGGCCACTCCTGCAATATCGTGTGCACTTGGGAGCACCTTGCTGTTAGGTAGTGATGGAGAAATGAGAGGGAATTAACTCGTATTGCTCCTCTCTGATTGGAAGACTGGGTAAGTGGAAGTGTGAGGAAACACTTGAGCTACGTATGTGTGTGGCTTGGCAAAGGGACAGCTCAAGGGAAATACAAATATCCTACTCTAGTTATTTATAGGCCTGAACCTCTGCTGTACAGCAGTACAGCTCTATTGCCTTCATCAGTTAACTTAAAATGGTCTCTGTTTTGAAAGGAGAATTGGGCCTGTGAGACTTTATTTTTTAAAATCAAAATAACATCTCTTGATCTAGAATTGGTACCTGGAATGCCTCATGGGTTTTTGGTGAAAAGCTTTGAATACTTGGTGCTTTGCCAGATCCTGTTTGGCCTGCATTGCTTTTAGTGCAGTGAGCAAAAGCTGATTTTGTCTGTCTGCTTACTATACTAATCTCTTGAAAAGGAGGGCAAGAGCAAGATTTGTATTAGGAAATGGTATAACAGTGGTGTGTGTGTGAGTGTATGCGTGAGAGGGCGAGGGGGTTAGTGTGGGGAGGGAGGGGGGGAAGCCAAGTTTGTGTG